GGAATTGAATAAAGAGATCTGTGCCAAAAAAATGGGCACCTCAGAATTAAGGAGCTGTTTGCCCAGGCCAAAAGAAGAAAAATGTTATTATGAAAATCCACAAGCAAAACTTCAAGATCACTCCAAGAAAAAGAGTTTGATAAGGAAATCAGGGTCACCTAGAAACATTACACAGCTTAAGAAGCCAAGTCAGTGTCAGCCTCTGACTGGAGCTAGTCCAGAGCTGGCAGGCAGAGAATGTTCCAGAATGAAAGTGGCAGCAACTTCTAGAAAGCCTCACTGGTAATGTTTACCAAATCTTTCATTAACTCACTTTGCAAAGCTTGCCAGCCACTCTCTATGGCCAGGGCACATTGTTGGCAAGACTGAGAAATCAATGTGGTTTGTCTGCTTTGCCACAGGGGTTCCCTTTTCCTCACCACCAGGACCAGCCCTCCTCATAGACACTCTTTGCCCTTCCCTTCACCCTGAATTCTACAAGGAGGCAATTAATTGGGTGTTTTGTCTGTGCAGTAGGTTAGGATATGGATTGGGGCTATTGTGTTGTGCAGCTTTTGGGGAGGGGTAAAACCAATTGCTATAGCCAATAAGACGGAGCTCTGCTTCTCTAAAGCTGTTAAGAGAATATCATGCTCCTGCCTCTCAGCTTTTGTTCACACAGCAACCTCTGCCTAGACCACCTCCTGTTTCCATTAACCTATATCCCAGCTATGTTTCCAGACTCAGTTTGAGTTTTCTTCCCTGTGAAGTCTTCCTCAGATCTCTGTATAAAACGTTTTTATTGTCATATAACCATTGACGGGTTTCATAAACATGTTGTATTCAAGCTTATCATGTATTTCCCCATATTTGTCTCCTCTATGCCCCCACTTGTCCCACTCTTTGTTCCAGAGTGTCTCACTTTCACTTTCATGTCATGCATTTAAATGATTGTGTGAGGTCACGGTGATCTTTATTTTTATTGTCTTCTTTGTCTTCATGCTTCCTCTTGCTCTTTGTGCCTCTGCAGCAGTGCTAACAACAGCCTGCGTTGTATTCTAATTATTTGTGTAGTTCACACGTACTTATTACATTGTCAGTTGTGAAGGCACAGGCTTTTGTTGTTCGCTTTTGTATTTCTCACGCAGCCTCTTTGCTTTAGAAAGTGCATAGTGATCAATATGGGGGAGAGCTGAGCTTTCACAAAAACAAATTACACATGTCAAATGTGAGTCTCACCGATTTATAAATACTTCTGAAGAACATTTCTTTCTGAAGGATTAGTCAAATGAATTATGGGATATAGTAGCAGCAGGCACATGCAAAAATGACCACTATCTGCAATATGTGGACAGAGAATCTAATCAAGCCTAAATCAAGTCCCGGTGAATTTTCCATTTGCAGCTAATAGACTCAAACTACTTATATACAGAGATCTCTTGCCTCCATTTATCCACTTGTCCATTGACATTTAAGACACTGGACCATCCAAATAATATATTGTTCATGCTAATGTACAGTCACACTGGCGTCCCTCTACTTCTTGCTTTTTTAAAATGAAGAGCACTGAGGTAATGGTTAAGTGTTAATCTCAGTTAATTCTTATTGATTTTGTGGCGGTAGTTGAGTAATTATAAAGATGGGTTTCATGCCTATGTGTTCTCTCCTCTGCCTTAAATACTCAAGTATGACTCATACTCGAGCTGATGTCAGCAAGACCTTTATTCTTTGAGAATCCCGTGGCATTTCAGGGAGTAGTCCTTTGTTGTCACTTAGTGCTAAAAAGATTGCTTCAGAAAGCTAGTTAGAAAATTATGCATTTGAAGTGTAAGCCAAGATAGACTTGGTGTCATTGTTACCATAAAATGTTTAACAAGCATTATTTCATTTGAAATTTGTTTCTTATGTCCCATTATTATTACCCTTTTTATTCTTTCCTTTCTCTTCTTCTTAAAATTCATTCGTCTCCTTGTCCCTGTTTTCCACCATGTACTCAGTTTTCACTAAAGGGAGAAGTTTTTCTTGTCCATGGATTAAAAATACGGTTAATAACAAAACTTCATTTTTCAAAATGACAGTCTAATGTATATTGGACTCTCTAGTCTCTTAGGAGTTTTAGAGTTATAGCAAGTCATGTTCTTTCAGTCACATAAATTATTTTGTTCTGAACTGAAGCAGGATGCCGGAGTGCTAGTCCTAACTTCTTCATGAGCCAATTTTGAAACCTTGGGAAGTTTTGATTCTTTGTGCCTTGTGATTTTCATTTTTTACGATGGAAAATGTTCTATTTTCTCATTGTGAAACAAAGATGGTGGCTGCTGTGTCTCAGCATCAAAAGTATTTGGAAAAGCTGGGTATCCACATACACAAGATGTGTTTGTCTACATTTTGAAGCCAGTAAAATAGGGAGCAGGATCACATAAGAAACTTGATGCTGAACAGCTGTATTGCAACATTTCTGGCTTCAAACACCATTGCGAGTTTGTCAAAAAAGCATAAGGAACATTGCCTTTCTTATAAGATCCCCAAAGGGAGGGCTAGTCTAAAGCTTTTTGCACAACCTGAGGAACAGGAGAGTCTGGGGTTTGGCAGAGGACGGGTAGTTGTAACTGCAAGTACTCTAACAATCTGTACTGGGTTCTTATCCTAGAATAATATATCATGGCATGTGACTGAGATGAAAAAAATCACCCATTAAACATTAAGTTTTTTAACATTTAAGATATCTCCGTGAAAAACAATGTATGAATCTACAGACAGTTCTTCTTTCTTCTTAAATTTCTGCTTTAGTTACCTTTAAAAGTCTCCAAATGTTAATAATATCTGTTCCCATGCACAACTGATTTCTTCTTTCTATTTTTATATCCATTAACCCCCATGAATAGTTCTTCTCTCTCTCTTCTTTGTATGCAGTCTAAATAGATACAACTGAAACTAAATTATTATTAGGCCATAAACTGTTCATCAGGATTTACAATGAAATCCAGAGATGGGGGGTGGTGAGTCTGGCCTATGGTACAGTGGGCAGGATTAGATAAGTGTCCATGAAAGCCAAATCAGGCCTTGAAAAAATGTACTAATTCCTAGAGATAACCAGGGAAGTTCAAGGGTAAGGCACTCCTCATTCAAACAAAAATGAAGGCAAGGGCAGTCCCAATCAAGACAACAATGCAGACCCGCTTAGTGTCTGAAAGTTAAAACCTCCAGATTGTGTTGATTCAGTGTCCAAGACATTAGCAGGAGGTCTGGAGTAGAGCTCATAACTAAGCTCTTTTATTGGATCTTAGTTCCAGACCACCACATGCAGAATGCTTCTTGAACTAATCTTGTCAACAGAGACTGGGTCCCTTTGATATGCTTGTTAATCAATTGCTTCCATGACACCTATAGGTTCTCTTGTCCTTGAAGCTAAGTTGAAATGTGCTGTTTCAGTGTGTGTCAGTCTATAAGACTGTGATCTCTGTCATGTGATATCTGTGAGTATTATTCTCCTCCCCATCAGTTCCTAAGGTCTATGTAAATGCTCACCATACTGGATGGTGAAAGGCACATTAGATTAGATGTTTGCTTAGATTTATTGTTCTTTTTTTTCACCTGGGTAATTTACTTATTTCTGGGTCCAGGCTTCTCACCTCTAAAATAGTGAATGTCATAGCGTTTTCTGAGACTGAAATGAGATGACAGATTCAGAAATACTCAGGTCAATCTATGCCCTATCTCAGAGTAAGGATGCAATCAGTGGACACTCTGACTGTCATTATATGATTGTGTAGTACAGAAGTGAAGAACAGACAAGGCAACTGAAAAAGGGCATGGGTGTATTTGATGAGGTTGAGGCTCAGAACTAGGAAAAAGCTTAATAGGAGTGACCCTGGCAGTCCTCCAAGGCTCTCTCCCTTCCCTTGGCACCCCATAGATGACTAAAGGGTAATCTTTAAGCAACTCTTTCTTTGTGTAAGGCTTGTAATCATCTTGGCTGGGGAAACAGATTGAATAGATCTTGGGTGGGGGATGATGTTATTAATATAAACATTTTTTTCCAAATGCAACATACTGCTTTCTGCACATAGCAAGCTGTTGTTAGTTTGTGAGGCCTGCGTCTTTAGAAAGCCATTGCTGGCAGCTTGAATGGGATTCTTACAACAATTAGAGGCTTTGAACACTTACAAGCCAAGAAGTTGGATAAGCATGTTTTTGACTCTATGGTTCCTCCCGGGGTTTGCCTGATGTGCTGGACTAATTAACAGATGCAATTAGGAAAGCTGAGAAGTGAAGAGACTGCAGGGATCAGGCTACGTTCCCAGGGACCCTCATTTATTTGTTCAAAAGGGAACTGGGAGACTGTCTCCATAGCGAAGGAGTAGCAATGCATATCATGTTCAAGAGTCCTGGGAACATAAATTTATGGGACCCATGGCCTGTGATGTGGTTTAAAGTGGTCAGCGTAGATTTCCTCTGTTAGCTTTTCAGTGTAGAATAAATCTCTGACTCATTAGTGTGCTGGGTAATATTTTAAATGAAGAGTACAGCTACCTTTAGAACATATGAATATGAAGAGAGGAATTACCAGCTTTGGGTTTGCTACAAGGTCTATACATCAGAAGCTGCAGAAAATCTGTGTCACTTACCTTGGCCTAAAACCTGACCTAAAATTTGCCTAGACCATGAGTACCTTACCTTTAAGTTGCTAGAAGAGGTAACATTTGTTGGGACCCGTAATAGCTGGTTTTTCTTCAGAGGGAGTCATTTCATTTGTGCATTATCTCAATCTTAGTCTTGATGGCATGGAGACAAGATAAGCATACATGGACAGGCAATGATACATTGATGTTCACTCGCTAGGGATCATAGTACAGACTATGAATGTGGTAGGTCTTTTGTAAAAAGGGAGAGGTGAAGAGAGAAAGATTCCTGATAGTGATGAAGGCCTGGATGTGAAGTTGTGTACGTCATCAACACGATGTGAAGTTATTGTTATAAGGACATCAAACACTATCCCAGCATTTCTGCTTTCTCCATAGGTCACCTGTCTCCATGATTTCTTTGGGGATGATGATGTATTCATTGCTTGTGGTCCCGAAAAGTTCCGCTATGCTCAAGACGATTTTTCTTTGGATGAGAACGGTAAACACTAACATAGGGCTTGATTCACTTTTGTTCTGCTCCTTTTCATCCCTTAGGATTTTCATGAGCTTATGTGGCCTGGAGAATAATTAAAAATGGTAACACAAGGGTCGACATTACTAGTATTTCTCCTTTGTATTTGTATACATGACACTAAGTGAAAGGTTACCTGGATCTCCCAGGCCTTCTTGCTACTTGAAACTTGCCAACTACCCCAATAATGACCACATTTCTTAGACCATATACTGTATCATATGAACTAACCTGCACCTTCAAGAAAAAACTTTTGCATTAAGAACTATACAGATATTATGCATATGCATTTTTTCTAGCCATTCTCCTCTGGCTTTTATGATATGTGGTAATGGTCTCACATTTTTATAAAGCTTTTTATTTTTTATTCTATCCTTAGTGTCAAACCCAGTTCCCACCTTTGTGTCTGCTACTCCTTTCTTTATGCATTGTGATTTAGAATTACATAGGAATGTTAGCCTCAAGGAAGACCTGAACATCTATTAGTCTAATAAGTTATAAGTGAGTTAGGTCACACAACTTAGGATGGGATATTAATGGAAAGACATATTAAAAATACATTTCCCACTCAGGAATAAAATGTGAGAAAAACAAAGAGAGTTTCACTAAAAGACAATCCACAAGCAACTCGAGACAGGGTCCTTTTTAAAAGTGGCATTTCTAGAGTTTTTCTTTCAGAAAGGCTAAAAGAAATGAAATAGCTAACCAAATCCTGGTTGTATCCAATTTTCTATTCCCTCTGTATCTGTGGCTCTTGACAGTGAGAACTAAAGTTCATCAACACAAATAAAAAGCAAAACAAACCAAAATTAATTGTCTTCTTAATTCGGTTTCCTAAAGAGTTCAACTGACCAAATTATCCTCACCTGTCTTTTTGGTGTACCTTAGAGTGGGAGTCAACAAGGAGGTCTCTAGGAAAAATCTACCATCTACCATGTTGTTTGATTCTACTTTTCATATCATAGAACAAAATAAACTGTGTAGGCAATGAGCCGGAGAGATGACTTAGCAGTTAAGAGTATTTGTTTCACTTGCAGAAGACTTTATTTGGTTCCCAACATCCACACAGTAGTTCACAACCATACATAAATCCAGTTTCAAGGGATCCAGTACCACTTTCTGACCTCTACAGGCACCACGCACACACACCACACGTACATACATACATAGAGGAACTAGGAGGAATGCGAGAAGGGGAGTCTGGGGTCAAGATGTATTGTACGAGAGAAGAAGAAGAAAAAAAAGAAAAATGTACATCTAAAAAATGTGCAGGATATATACTGGAACACAGGAGATGTAGCTACTGTACCTTGTATTGCTAATTTGTTGATTTGTGGCCCTAAGCAAGAAGATTAAGCTTTTAGTACTCTCATTTTTTAGAAAAGGAACACAATTATTTTCCTAATAAAGTATCAGTCTCAGTGGCTCAAATTACTCCTAATTCAGAATGCTGAGTGATCATCACAGAAAGTGTGCTCCAAATTCATCAGATTGCAGCTAGGACAAGTGCAGAAACATTTAGCCTACTCTTCTCTACGGACCCATAAGTGTTCTAGAGTAATGAGCATCAGGGTAGTTATTAACCCATTTATTTATTAAACCAGCATAAGGGATTACAAAATGCTCTGAAAATGAAAGAGGACTCTATAAATACAGTACAGGGTAGTAAGGCTTCTTTTTGAATGAAAAGACTTCTGTCGCAAGGAGTGCCTATGAGAATGTGCAGCAGGTAATAGACAATGTGTAGGAGCTTACTCAGGGATTCCGCATCTGTGCAACTGAGACATCTGAGGTATGTCAACCTGTACTCTAATAAAAAGAAATGCCAAGCCTCCACAGGTGCTATTTTCAAGTATAGTTTGGTCAATTTCAGATGATTAAGCTGACATATGACCCAGATGACTTGATTTAGGAAGTCCTTTCTCTAGATTTGAGGAACTTAAATATTTAGTTTATCCCAAGAGACTTTTGGAAATTTCCCCCATGCCTCCCTCACCATAGTCCTAGTTCCTATAAAAGATGAGCAACGCCTTGTAATCCTGAGCCACTTAAGTGTTGTGGCCTGTGGTGACCATTTTGGTTTGAGATGCTGATAGTAACCTGAGGGTCTCAGTTCTACCTACTAAGCAGCTTGCATCCTTTTGCCCCTAGAATGCAGAGTTATGAAAGGGAATCCATCTGCCACAGCTGGCCCAAAAGCTTCCCCAACACCTCAAAAGACATCAGCTAAGAGTCCAGGCCCAATGCGTCGCAGCAAGTCTCCTGCTGACTCAGGTAACGACCAAGACGGTGAGTGTTCTTTTCCTATTCATGTTGACTTCATTTATAGAAGCTGATACCCCCTGCATAAGATAAATGACTTCCTCAATGTCGCCAGTGTCCCCACAAAGACCAATTCTATCATTTCAGAGATATAAAAACAATTTTGTTTGGAGATAAACACATATGTTCCTCACGAGCTGCCCATCTTGCCTTTTAAGACTAGTCTCTCACTGGGATTTGGGGGTGGCTGATTAGGCCAGATGTCCAGTATATGCCAGGAAGCATCTGTCTATGCTTCTCCAATGATAATATCACAGGCACATGCACCCCCACACTGGCTTTTTACTATGTAAATATCTCCTTAACTCTTGGGCCAAGGGACACAAAACAGCAAGATTTTATGAAAGAACTATAATCTCTGGCCTGTCCTTTGGTCAACCTAAGCAGTCTTCCTTAAGTGTTCTGACCTTCCTGAGAGAATAACTCTATCTAATAGAACTAATATGGATCATAATGCATGATTTGTATGTTATATCATTTTTGAAAGTTGTATTATTAATTTCACAAAATAGTGGTCTTCATATGATATCATCACATGTATGCTGTTTAAATGTTTAGTGGTTGCATTTAAAAATTAAAAGAAAACAATATAGATAGATTTTATTTAGTAATCAATTGAAAGGTAATCGCTTCAACATGTGGCCAATATGACAAACTATTGGGATGCTTACCTTCTTTGAAATTGCTCAGAATTTTGTGTTTAATTAGCACTTCTGAAATCTAATTAGCCACATTTTAATGTGACTAACTATTTACTGTATTAATATATGAATGCCTTATTTTGGCAAAACAATTTCATCATCTCTGTTGTGATTGTAAGAGAACTATAAATTAAGCTACAAAAGGATAACTCTATAGGTTGTATTTTTTTTAACATTGAGAAACTGAGGGGCAGTTCAGATTCTCAAGGTCTTCCCAATGTCACACAACTATTTAGTATTCAAAGATCAGAATGCAGGACTCCTCTCAGGAGGCATTTGAGGCAGGGTGTGGGGTTCCCAGTGTGTTGAATACAAAGATTTCTTTTGGATGGTACTTGCTTCTCAGTGTCCTTCTCCCGGGCTCTACCTCCAGATGAAGGGTATGTGGAGGCCAAGAGATGTTGGGGTGGTTTCTGGGTCATTATCTTGTGCTGAATTGAACACAGTACCACAGGTAAGTTGGTGCTTTTGTTTCTAATGATTGTCTCTGAACAGATTCTATTGATGCCTCTAAAGTCGCTCCAAGGTGAACTGATATCCTTGACAGGGCTTCAGGAAGACAAAAACTCCCCCCAAGTTTTCACCTTCTTTAGAAAAACTCATTTGTATTAAAACATTACAATATCAACCACAGTTATATTTCAGTGGGAGGCGCTTGCCTAGAATAAGGGAAGTCCTTGATTTTACCTACAAACATTGCAAGGTTGGGTAAATAAATGTGTTTTCCAACAGGAAAGACTTTTCTCCATTTTATTTAAAGAATTCACAGCAGTGTAATTTCCAAAACATGGGAGGAAATAGATTTCAAATTCCCATTTCATCTTGTAAATCTACAGTATCTCACAATCTATGATTGAATTTGGCTAGAGAAACAGCCTAACGACAAATCCCTGAAGAACTGTTTCTGGGCTCTCAGTTCTTGCGTCCTTGATGGATGAGTCTGGGATGAGGAACAAAAGCATTTCTATTTAGCAGAAACAATTAGCCAAAGAAATCCAGACACTGCAGCCAAGGGCACTTTGGAATGGATGTGTGACAACCATAGGTCTGTCTTTTGACTTTGTTCTGAAGTGAATCTTAGCTGCCCTGGCTCCACTTAGATAGCATTCCAGAAAATGTCTCTGTGCAAATACAGAGGAAACAGGGATCATTAAGAGCAGAAGTAAAGAAAACGTAGAGTATTTCAACTCAAGGAAATGTGGAACTGACTGAATTGTGGGTTGAGATATCCCTCTGTAAGGCATTAGGGAGGTAACAAATATAAAACAGAATAAATCACACAAGCGTCGCAGTGGGAGATAAGTGAGAGATTGTGAAATGGATTCTGTGATCAAATCCTGAAGCCATCATGCATAAAGGAGGGGAAGAATTACATACTCGAATCAAGGCAAATCTCAAATCTCTGTTGGTTAAAGAGATAATAGTAATCAGGAAAATTGTGTGAGATCACATATTATAAAATGTTTTTTAAATAACCATAAAGAAACAACTATTAATGGGGGGCTCTGGAGTTGGTGGATTGTTTGCTAGGCTGATTTTACTCTGAGTATCTCAGAATAAACGCCACATCAAAACAAACAGGCTTGATTTTGAGTGTGACTCAATATTGCTATTCCATTGGTTGAGCACCTCAGGATGAAATGAATGAGCATTAAAATCAGTTTGATATCTGGTCATCAAGGGCTAGAAGCAAAGCACGTGCCTAGACCCTTCATTTTTTGTGTCAGTCTTGTCAAGAGGACTTGAACTAAGGAAGTGTAATACAGGCTGGGATAAAAGGAAAGAAAAAGTGTAATACAATTTGTATTACTCACTACCTAGACAACTCTTTAATTATTACACTTGGGACCGCTTAGCAACATCTTATGTGCAGCTACATACATCTCAGATCTCAGTCTTCACGGATGTGTGTATCCTCCAGACAAGGGAACATGCAGCCTGGAAACTCAGCATGAACTCTGCATGCCAGGTAATACTGTTCACTCCTTCCCTGACCACCCATACTTGAAAGTGGACACTTTTACTGTTCTCTGAAGACTAGCACCCCAAGCCCCTCCACACACGTTTTATTGTAATGTTTAAATCCTTGGAAATCCAGGTAGTTCAACCTTCTAATCTGACCAGTCATCCTGTTGGGGCATGCCCTGTTCCATTTAGACAGGACCAAGGAATTAAAGATTAGTGCAGGAGCAAGGACAGATCTAACCACTCCCAAAAATCCTGGGGGAGAAGATCATGTGGAGTGGAGCATGGCAACTGTGCTGCACAGCTGGAGTGTGAACTAAGGAAGCTGACAGACAGAGCACAGAAACCATCTTCTCCGAGAGCTCTGGGACATGGGGGAGTTATGCCATGCTGGCTTCCTATGTTCTTTTGTTTTGTGACATTGTGTGTGTTCCCAGCTGGTTTGCCTAATTGAAAAAAAGCTTTTGCTAACCACTTTCTAACTTGAGCCAGATAGGTTAGATGTTTCCTTGAAGATGAGCCCCAGCTCTGACAGTTGCTCCTACTTTCTTCTTGGCCCTTTCTTTTTCTCTGCCACCACGTTCCCTGTTTCTCTTAGTTCCTGTGGAAAAAAAAATTGCCAGAGGAAGAAATCCCAGGAGCATTTGTTTTTTTTTAAAATGAAAGGCCTATGTCACAAAAGTTGAAAACCGAGAGAAAAGAGTACAGGCTTTGGAATCAGAAATCTGTAATCCAAATCTTGGCTCTGCTCCCTTCTTATGGAGTGTATGGGTCAGGGAGAGGATTGATGGTCAACTCATCATAGACACCCGGTAAATGCATAACACTAATTTTAAAAATATTGATAAGGTGGTCAAAGAGGTTGAAATGAAGGTGGTAAACCTTCATTACAAAGGGGAAAATGAATTCTACTGGAAGACATGAGAGGATTTGGTCTATATAGAAAGCTGAGAGCAGTGAAATAATTTTGTGATTCTGTGGACTAGGAAAGACAATAGTCAGTGAGGGAGAAGAGTCCCTCCCAAGGTGCTCCCCAATTACTAGAGAGCTAAAGAGGATACCAGGGGGAAGGAGAGGCTATCAATCAGTGATGAAGCTTCCAATCACTCCTAAGATGATAGGCAATATGATACCCTCTCTATAGCAGTGAGTGGTTCGCCACCTTCCTAATGCTGGAACCCTTACACAGACCCTCATGTCGTGGTGAACCCTAACCATAAAATTATTTCAATGCTAGTTCATAACTGTAATTTTGCTACCCCTGTGAAAGGGTCATGGCCCACAGGTTGAGAACCACTGTTCTTCAAGTCTTTGCAAGTTCAAAAGCACACACAAAGTTCACCAGACACCATCTACACTACATCCTGCTTCTTCTTTTGTTTGATATTTGTAAGAATTTGCTCTAGAATGCATACAAAATTGTGTCATTTCAAAGTTTTTCTCACAGTCTGTAGATAAAATGTGTTTGTAAAAACATTTTTGATTTATGCTTTAAGTGCAGGGGTTCCTTAAGTTTTCCAGTTCATGTCTGCAAGTCTCATTTCTTTATGTCCATCTTCAGATTTTACCCCCTCAGCAATTTCTGAGAAAGTATGGGAGCATATCTTCAGTTCTTCACCAATGTTGTCCATGGCAGTTGAATTACGAAAAGCCCATGTGCATACTTGTAGAAGGTCAATGATAAAGGCCTTTATTTTTTACGGATAACTTAAGATTGATCCAGTAAGGTAGGGACATGAAAACAGTGTATCACTCCTATATAATCACTCAAACAAATCAGAGAATGTAGAGAAAAGCATATATGGAGTGGATATTTGTATACATCTGAAGTTGCTGGTTGAAAAGAGTTTTTGAGGATATGGAGAAAAAGATCTAGAAATTGAAGAATCTTGTTCTCAGATCTATTCTCAGCCAATGAAAACTGACACACTTGTGACTGGCAATTTTCCATGTTTTGCCAAGGCCACTGAGTTCATTCTCAGATAAATGAGAAAATGAAGAGAAGAATTTTAATGTTGGGGCAGAGTAGCCACCCTTCGTAGATGGGGGACAAAAATGAGAAAAGGAGGATGTGTAGAGTACACAGCAACTGTATGGAATAAATGCCCAAATCCATCCAGGAATGTACTCACACTTCTTGTTAGTGTTTAGATTTCAAGTTAGAGCATTGGGGGAAGGCTCGACTATGTCAGTTTGCATAGGTCTCTATGAGTGCTCCATTCTGGAAGCTTTTGCCGAGTTCTGCTGGGAAAGCCTTTGGGCAATGTAGACAGTCCATTAACTCCTTCAACTATTAACTCCTTCATTTCCTTCCTACAGAGAATAAGTGACTTTTTGCAGCACCCCAGTCTTGCCTTTCTTAGAGTATGTCATTTAATTTTTAGAAGGCAAACTCTGGTACTTAAACACTGCATTTTGGTACAGGTAGCATTCTTTATTTGGGGGACAGCATACAGAATAAGTGAACACAATACTCTCTACTTGTCTGACCTCTAAAATTCTATCTACACAAGTGTTGTTGGAGCTGCGGGTTGCATTCCACCACCCAGCTCCTGCCACAGGCTAGCTTTACCCGAAATAACAACACACAAATTGTATTCTTTTAAACACTGCTTGGCCCATGATATCTAGCCTCTTCTCGGCTAACTCTCACACCTGGACTATCCCATTTCTAATAATGTGTGTAGCGCCCACGAGGTGGCTTACCAGGGAAGATCTTAACCTGCGTCTGTCTGGAGTGGGAGAATCATGGTGACTGCCTTGACTCAGCTTCTTTCTCCCAGCATTCTGTTCTGTTTACTCCGCCTACCTAATTTTATGTTCTATTTAAGGGCCAAGGCAGTCTCTTTATTTAACCAATGAAATTAACACAAAACAGAAGACTCTCCCCCATCACACAAGGGTCCCTATTTTCCTTCCATATTGCTTTAGTTGGGAGCTTTGAAAACTAATTGGCCACTGCAGTATCTTTTGTTATGTCTGCTTCTCTTCTGAACCCATCCTATCCATTCCTAGTTTCATTTTCAGAGGCTGGAGTAAGTTTTCAATTTAAATTTACTTGCGTGCACTTCAGTTTAAAATGCTCCTGAGGTTTCCCTTTAGCAATCAAACCCAAACTTTTATTTTATAGACTGGAAAATAAATCTAGGACTACCAAGTTCCTTCCCCAGACCTTAAATTGCTGGAAAAGTCTTGAGCTGCTGCTAAGTTGACCACATTGTCCTTAAATTTGCCATTGTCCTGCCTCAGACTGTCAAGGGATGAGCTTACAGGCCTATTCCGTTGCCCAATAGCTACCCCAAATATCCGTGGGCCACACAACAGACCCACCAAAATCTGTCTCACATCCTTAGTCTTCTGCTGTATCTGTTTGAGCCATTGGCAGCTACTTGCACTTTGAAAACATATTGTATTCTTTCACATCTTTTTGTCTTCTGGTGCAATTGCAATTCCTAGAATTCACTTTCTCTCTTCTTTACTTTGCTAGTTTCAATTTACTTTCTTAAACATAGTTTGTTTGATATGAACTAATTTAAAGAACATTGTGGATTTTAATTGTGATGTTTGTCACAATTATCATGATTTAATGCCAGAAAAACTGTGACCAAAAATGAAGTTCCCAATCATTAGCAAAATCATTCCACTTCCCCACCTTTTTCCATCCCCCAGTCTCTGGCAGCCATGAGTCTACTTTCAGATTATGGACATTTCCCTAGTCCAGATTCCGTTTCAAAATACTTAGATGTTACTTCTTGTTTACTTCTAATTCCCCTTGTTACAAATTATTTCCTTTGGCTCAAATAAAATCCAGTGTAGGCCTTTATCCACATACTTACTTGACTTAATCCTTGCTTTCGCTCCCCCCAACCCCTGGGGAAGTGATGTATTTTTTCTGAAACCCTAATGTCTAATCTTTTTCTCATAGGTGGTGTTCCATGGCTGTTGGCCAATGGTATAAATGACATGGAGAAAAGCTTCTCAAGAAGCAAATGAAAGATAACAGAATAAAGTCAGTCAGTGGGTTCCCAAGTGGTTATTATTTTTTTTTAGCTCATTTAAACGTGGATAATCTCAGCAGCCACCACAATGGTGCAGTTTCTGGGTCTTCCATTCATGGGTGTGTTTTCAAAAATAAGGAAATATTATCATAAGCAGTGGAGAGGATGTATATAATCAGGGAATAGTTATGATATTGAAGCTTAAACCGCATCTGTGGGACTAACCACAATATTCTTATTCCACTATGCACTGCTGAGACACTCCCCTCTGTTTTAATTGCATACTTCAGAATATCTTACTAACAACGTAGGCCCTATGATTAAAAAATATTTCAGCATCAGAAAGCCGTACCTGTCATGGAAATCCATTTAATTATCACATTTTCATGTGACACCTTTTTTCGTATTAAAAGTGCTCATTAACAGGGGGATGGAAAACAGCTTGAAACCGAAGTGGAACACAGAGATGTTAAAACCTTAATCATCTCCTTTCTATCACGTTCTTGACAGAACACAGATTGGGGTTGTACCTTGATGCTGTTCACAGTTACCTAGAATTAATTTTCAGGTCCCTCATATTACGTAGGATCAAAACCCCGTGCCATTGTCCTTTGCATCTCATCAGCCCTCATTGTTCGCCATGTTCAGAGAGTCCAGTTTTATCCCATGCTTTTTCAGTCACAGTCCAGCTGGCCTTGGTGAGCTCCCAATAGATCAGATGGCTTTGTGGGAGCCTAGCCAGTTTGGATGTTCACATTCCTAGATATGGACGGAGGGGGGAGGTCCTAGGTCTTACCACAGGACAGAAAACCCTGACTGCTCTTTGGACTGGAGAGGGAGGGGGAAAGGAGTGGGGGGGAGGGGGAGAAGTGTGGGAGGAGGGGGCGTAGGGTGGGAGGAGGGGGAGGGAAATGGGAGGCTGGGAGGAGGTGGAAACTTTTTTTTTCTCCTTTTCTCAATAAAAATAAAATAAAATAAAAACAAATAAACCCTCAAAAAAAATATTTCAGGTCCCTATACATTTTTCTCTGTTCTCAGTCTTTTATTCTAATCGCCTTTTCTTTCTTGTCTCCATTACAGATCTTCTACTATTATCTATTCTCTCTTCAGCTCCACTTTAGTCCATTTGAGCTTCTCTTTAAAATTTATGTCCTGTTTCTCCGATTTATTTCATTCTCATTTCTGGCTGTTTGTTTCCTTCTGTTGTTTCTTTGTTCTATTTGTTTCCTTCTTTCCATTTCTTTCCTTCTTTTGTTTCTATGAAAGACATGGTAGTAAAGGACGAGGAGGTGAATAAGAAAGTGTGGAAATCGATATTGGGTCTGTTATACATCAGTCTCATTCAGCTGACTCCAAAGGGGATATATCCTAGCCCAAAGAGCTCATATTTCTTCCCCTTAATGTAAGGCACATGCATTCTCTGTGTCTTATCTTTCTTAGCTCAAAAATTAAAGTAAAATAATGATTTCTCAAACTACCTCACAGAGACGTGAGGATCAAATCTGGTGATTAAATTGAAAAAGTTTGGAAAAGAACTAGATTCTTGTTACTGAGAAGCACTGGGCAGGGTGAAGGTTCTGGATGTCTTGCTCTGTGCTGGACAACATTAACTGAGTACAGCAGTTCTTGGGGCATTGGAAGAATAAATTTCTTTTCACTTTAATTTGCTTCTATCAAATCATTTGACATTGTACCTTGTTTGAATGCTCTTAGTGTCTTAGGAGAAGCAAAAACGTGCTCTTTTATATGCTGTTGGTTTTCATTTTTCTTTTTCTCTTGCCTTGGGTTAGCAAATGGAACTTCTAGCAGTCAGCTGTCAACACCTAAATCGAAGCAGTCTCCGATCTCTACACCTACAAGTCCGGGAAGTCTTCAGAAGCACAAGGTATTATGTCTCTTATACCTTACTAAACTCCTTTGCACTCAGAGTTTCTTAGAAGGTGGCATAGAGATTTGCTCACCTACTGTACTTTAAGAGCTCATTTTGAAGTCAGAACTTACCTTTGTTGACTCCATGAAGTTGAAGTACCAAGAATTCCGACAGGGAACAAAGGAATGCTGAGAGCAGGAAAAATAGTATTCCTCAAGGAAGAGCACACCAATTGATTATGCAATACCAAATGGTCAAGCCTGAAAACATAAATACAAATCACAAAATACTGAATGTGCACGCGTGCGCGCGCGCGCGCGCGCGCACGCACACACACACACACACATTATACCTTGCTTTTATACCTTGCTTTTTAGCTGTATGTGTACTGACATCGTGCACTTAACTTGGTCGCAGCAGAATTATTTGGACCATAGAAACCATCAAATAAATCAAGATTTTAATTTTTACCCATAGAAAGTCAATTGCTATATACTTAACAGCAGGACTAGAGAGATGACTCAGTGGGTAAAGTCACTTGTCACCAAACATGATAACTTCAGCTCAGTCCCTAGAACAGACATGGTAGAAGGAAAGAAGTGACTCCTAAAAGTTGACCTCTGAACTCTGTTTGTGTGGTGTGGTACATGAAAGTACACACACGTACACACTCCATGTAAAATTTGAGAAGATTTCATAGCATACCACTATCTGATAAGTTTTATCACTAATCTTTTAATAGCACACTTTTAGCTTTCTTTTAGCTTTAATTTGGTTTTTGCATGCTCTGTTATTAATAATGCTCATTCCTTTTCTTTAATGACCCCCTTTTATTTCTTATATTGGTCCTGACCAGCACCTTTTTATTGTCCTTCTTGATCTACTGGATTTCAGAAAATGCTCGACTGTCTCTGTAGTCCATGTGGGAGATTGTAAGATGGGTGAAAATCACTTGCCAGTCAGTTTTTGGTTGTTTGCTGCGTAGCAAAATTTGTTAATATAGACGTTACAAGATGGAAGCAAGCTCTCTCTGAAATTTCAGTGTCATGAAGATCCTTCTAGACTACATTCTCTCTTAGGTTGCCTTCACCCTATGCCTTTCTGCAACTACATTCTTTTCTGGGAAGTGTGCTCTACGCCAATGCCAGCACTTTCCATCAGCCTTTCCCTGAGTGCCAGAGGCATCCGGGGCATTTTCTCTGCTCATTTGTATCATTCAACTGCCATGTACATCCAGCTCTTTTAGGTTGAGGACCCATTCTTTCGTAATCGTTCAGGTGAGTGTTGGCATTATCAAATTTGTTTCTCCTGGTTGGACTTGTAGATACCTGTGACTTGTTCATTTGTACACACAGTTCTGTAAACAAATTTAGCCACTGCCATAGGTGGAAGAATTGTCAGAGATGTGTTGTTATCTTCTCTGTAGAGTTCTCTGTATATTGCATTCTTAAGATTAATTTTTCTTAAAACAGAAAAGCAAACACAGTTTATGTACTTTTCTAGTTAAACTTTCAAAATAAATATACATCTAGATCTTGGTATAATATTATTTTAAAGACATTTTTCTATCTCTTCAAACTTACTGAGGAATTGTAATAATAGTGATCCTGTATTCCTTTTTATTTTATTTTTTTATTGATTTTATTAAGTTATACATTTTTAATGCACATTTGTCAGTCATTCCTGTTTTCCTTCATTTACCTTGTTTTTGGTGCTCTCTTTTTCTTTCTATATATGTATATGAATACATATAACCTTTACTTTTTGCCATTTTCCTGAGTTACTTGAGAATAAGTTGCATGCCAGATTATACTAGAACATCCAATGTATGTTTCCTAAGGACAAAAATGGTTTATAACAATGGCACAATTTTCAACATCATGAGAGTTAGTCAAGAAAGATATAAAGTGGTTATAGTCTGTATTCCAATTGTTATCAATTTTATCAATTGCTCAGTGACATTCTTTTTTTGGTCCAGGATCTAATCTAGGATCAAGTAATACATTCACTGGCAGTGTTCTTTTAGTATTTTTTGACCTGGAAAGGTTCCTGTGATTTTTATCTTTCAGGACAGTACATTCTAGAAATGAAGATGTACATACCTTTCTGTGCACCTTATCAGGAAGCAATGGCCTCCCATTTACATGGCCAATACTGGAGATTGAGGTGACTTTTTGGAATAAGCTAAAAGCGTGTTGAGACCTTGTTTCAGTCCTTCCAGTTCTCAGGTTTGAGCTTTGCATCTGTCCTTTCACGTGCTTGCTACCTGAGCCTTAGGAACACCAAACTCCCTGGGCAGTGGCCAGAACAGATCTCCGCTGAACTTCTGCCCAAGTGGCCCTGAAAGGTGTGAGTCATGGTGGAGACAGGAAGCAGGTGGCTGAGGCAATCTCTCTCCTCCTATGCAACTGGAAACAATCTAGATGTCCTAGCATCCCCTTGGTAACTTTTGATTGCTGTGCTGGGGCTCTAAGCTGTAATCAGATGCTTGGTTTCTCTTAGGCAGCTCATGGAGAATCCTCTTTAATGCATCTGCAATGGGGTTAGCCAAAGTCCGCATACTCAAGTGCCGCAGTATGGACATGCAGTACATCTTAAGGTAGTTAATGAGAACAACATTTCATTTTTTATTTCTATGCTGCTTTAACTTTTCACAAGCCATGTTCTTGCTTCTCTCTGAAATATCCCTGTGAAAGAGAAAGGACAGATAGCTAGCCTTCCCATTTTACAGATGAGGGCAAAAGTTAAGAGATTAATGACAGCCTTGGTATGATTTAACAAATATTTATTGAAGATTGCTTTTGGAGCTAATCCCCAGTTAAAGAGTTTAAAAATGTAGAAACGTAGACAAACTCTTTGAGTAAAATAATTTTCAGATTAGTGATTTCACCCACAGTTCTAAACTTGAAGACTTTTCTACAAAATGGCAATGCAAGGAAAATATATCAGACATAGTGCCTGAACATATAACTAACATCATTTAAATACGCACTTACTTCTATTTTCGCATTTCTTTTGTTATCCTAGCAGTGGTCAGAAAGACATTTGATGAATAAAGTAGGAGCCTTGTCCTGAGATCACAGGCACAATTAGCTAGAATTTATGTGGCTTTGGGTAATACAAGGAAGAGCACAAAACGGGGGGGGGGGGAGGACATTTGATGGGGACCCAAGGAAGATGGGAATTGGCAAAGACTTCAGAGGTGCTGTTCAACCTTGAAGACTGGCTAAGCTTTGAAAGGGCTGGTGAGACAGCCACACGAGCTTTGAAACATCAGGAAGAGCAATGCTATACCACTAAGAAAGCACAGGGTGTGTTGGAAAAATAGCCAACCTAACTAGAAGCTAGGTTTCCCCAATGTCCTTCCTGACTTCTTTTGGACTATAAGCTCCTTGGACCAAAGACTGACTTTTGTTTTCTCTAATGCAGTCGTATTGCCAGCACAGCTGTATTTGTTACAAACATTTTGTTCTGTAGGACTCCAAGGGACTAAGCAAATGAATTTCAGGTGCAAATTATTTGTATTGTTAAGCAATATGTGTGTTTCTGCGTTTCAGTATTTCTACATATCAATCAACAAAAACAGAATGCTGAGGCAATTACTTTTCCTGAACATTGTTCTTCCCTTACAAACCCCCTCAGGCTTTCAATATGAAATGAATTGATAGAGGTATAGAAGCAGTTCATTTATAGGTTTATTCCTAATGATTCTCCCCATGACCTGCTCTTTACTCTTTCTAAGTCACAGCCATTGCAATAGAGCTTTCACAATTCTACCCTTAACCTCTCCTCATTTTTTTGAGGTAAAGTCTGCAGCAATAATCTAGTAAAATTATTTCCACCAAGCAAACAGTTATTAGATACCATTTAAAAATAAAAGATAGTTAGTTAAAAACAATCAACAGTGCCAGACAATATGCATTTAACATTAAACCGAGAACTGAATACTGAGTGAAAGAGACAAGACAGAAAAGAATGAGATATCTGGTCTAATTCCTATTTACCATTAATTACTTTAAATATTAGTAGGTTTAATAGTAACAGATTAATCACCAACTCAACTTAAAAGCCTGTGATTGCCAGAATCATTTTTGGGAGGCATGACCCATTTTTATGCTGTCTAAAGCAGAAACAATATAGACTAAAAGATGCAAATATGCAGAGAGTAGAATCATAGGAAAAAGTGATAAGGGAAATGGGAAGATATAGATCAAAAGATACAAAATAGTGGGTAAGATGAATGAATAAATATACAGCTCTAAATACAAAGCATACTGTAGCTAAAAGCAATGATGACAATACAAATATTAGAAAACTATTGAACTTAAAGCAAATTTGTTACTAGGGAGAAAAATCAAATCTCTGATGACAAAAGGAAGGGCTAACACTTCCATAAAACATATTTCTAAATATATATAGGCCCCTTAAGAACATTGCATCAGTATATGTGAAACAGAAACTGGTAGAATTAAGATATGCAATCCAACCGTAACCCAATTGCATTAACTGAAAATTTCAATACCTCAAATTGAATAATGAATATAATCTTAAGATAGAAGACCAATAAGTAAGACCCTTAGTGTCTTGAGATGGACTACAAGATCTTTACCTGTCCTTCTAGTTCTAAAATCTTATGAACTATGAGGCCAATAACTACATTTTATTTTCCCCAGTTTTGTTAAAAGACAAGAAATGAGACGGATACTGAAAGTTAGTGAACTCCACGGGTGTTTCTCAGGAAATATACAAAGCCTCTGAATAATATAAAGGTCACTTTATACCCTGGTGAAACAGTCAGCTTCAACATTCAGCTCCACATTCAATTGTTTAATTGCTTTCTTGATATAATCTAGATTAATACCAACTTTATTTAAATTCTGTCTTAATTTTTTTGGACAGGGTAGCACCATTTCTTTTCCCCCTTCTTTGGCCTCTTATAAACATACAAATCATGTCTTTATACACAAAATGTCCATCAACACATTTTTGTAATTACCAGATCGTACAGTTGTCATTTGAAATAAACCAGACACAGAAAACTATTGCATGATCTCACTTATGTGTGGAATTCTTTAAAAGAAAAAAATCAAATACCTAGAGATGGAGAACGAAACAGTGGTTGCCAGAAGGACTCGAGGGGTGGAGAAAATGGGATGTATATATCAATGGATATATCATAACAGACAGGTTATATGAACAGAGAAGACAATCTATATGAACATATATACAAATCTCATCTACAAAGTGACTGAATTAAATAAAACTGTTATGAAGGAAGTGTATTTAGTTGCCCTTCTCATACAAGAAAATAATTATAAGATTCCATAGATATTTACTTCTCTATAGTAATTATTTTATTATCTATATGTGTCCCATAACCTCATGTTATAAATGTCAAATATATATGATAAAATATGAATACATTTTCAAATAACATTAAATGAAAAGAATTACAAAATCTAGTGCATACAGTCCGAGGAATATATTTGTAAATTTGCCCTAATGATTTTTTTATTAGTGTGGGTCTGAGTTATTGTCATAGCTCCTCGAGGAGCTCTCTTTAATATTTGTTGTAGGACATGTATTCCAGCAGTGAACTCTGTGTCTCTGTTCCATTTGGGATGCCTGCATTTATTTCTTACAGTAAAAATTTGGATTCGAAAGGATTTTCTTGAGTTCCTTAAATGTTTTGATTTGTTGCTGACCTTTGTTGTTGATGGTCTCTGTGAATGTTGTGTCACGACTTCAACCATCTATCAAGTGGTTGACAACTGTGCTTTAGCTTTTACTTTCTGCTTGCACAGGACCCCAAAGTCACCTGGGCCTGACAGATGCACACAAGAACCAACCTGTAGCTCGCTACATGGATTCCCAGGAATATATGTTAGAGAGGTTCAAAGTTCCCCATGGACTTCCAATTTTTACAGTTTTTCCTTGTAGAGTCTTTAGATGTGTTATTTACCCGAACTTTTACTCCCAAACACATTCACACTTTACAGAAAGTCATTTTTTTTTAATTTTTTGAGACAGAGTATCACAATGTAGCCCTGACTACCTGGCATCTGCTGTAAAGACCAGGCTGCCCTCATACTCACAAAGATCTGCCTACGTCTCCCTCCCAAATGCTGGGGTTAAAGGCATGCACCATGACACCACGCTGGCTATGATGTTATAATTTTAAGCAATTGTATTGATTGATGTGTCTTGAAAACGCTGATTGTAGCACGTGTTCTCTGAACCGAATCCTGTGAGGAGGAGTTTCCAGAAAGTTCCTACTCAGGTCAACAGAACTATTCTCTGGAAATAAGATGTTGTGGGTTCTCCCACCCTAGCTGTGTTACTCAGTGGCTCTTAGGTTGCAGGTTTGGTGACTATTAGAGGTTGCTGGCTTTCAAAGATACTGTGGAGTTTGGCAGAGGGAAAGCAAAAACAGGGCAAGCCAGGACACCAAAAATCTTACTAGTTTTACTTAAACGCAGCCATTTTTCTTGAATACATGTTTCTTGTTTTATTATAAGCCTTTCATTCATTTCCAGAGTTTCCAAAAAAGCTGATTTTGAGAGTGTTATAATATTTATGGAGGATCAAAATGTCAGAGTCCACTGCGCATGTCTGTGAGTCTGCAGCTCAAAGATGCTTTTGTTGGTGAGGCATCTGCACTGTAGGCACGTGTTTGAAAATCAAATCCTGTTACAGAGTCAGTTCTACTGTCTGTTGCTTTGCTTCAATTCAATTGTAGAAGTGTTTGTGCACTTATATTGCCCCCTCAGCATTGTAGTTCTTACACATGAAGAGAGAGAGAGAGAGAGAGAGAGAGAGAGAGAGAGAGAGAATCAAATGAGAACACAGCAATCTACAAGATATTAACTTTTAGGGGAAGTTGAGTAGGAAACGCTGATAGAATATAGAGTACTGGCTATCTCTACATATACTTTTAGAGCTCCCTGTGAATATATTAATTATTTTAAAATCAAAATCAGAAAAATACTATTTCAAACAAGTACAACCATTTCAAAACTCAAGGTACCAAGTACAGGAGAGTTAACTTTGTGTCTTCTCTTCTTACAGGACTTGTACCTCCCACTGTCACTGGATGACTCCGATTCACTGGGCGATTCCATGTGAAATCTATCATTACAGCAGAACGCATTCGCTCAAGTGACCAACAAGGCTATTGGTGCTTAAACATTTTTGTTATTGTTGTTGTTGTTCTTTTTCAAAAACACTCTGTAGTACGTAGGGTTTATTTTCTTGTTGAATTCTCCTCTGGGCCACTAATTCACAATTACCAATTATGAGAGATAGATTGATAAGCATCCTTTTGAGTGACTTTCCAGAACTGCAAAATGTGCTAGTTCATGACCTTTCTACTGAATGCTTAGGGGCCTTTGTATTTTCCCCACTCAATTTGTTCAGACGCTAGTCTTTCTTATGTGGAAGACTGTTTACATACATATCACTTAAAATGTTTGTGTGTGTGGGAAACATTCATATGCAGATCTAAAAATGGAAAACCTAAGTGTCCCATGCTTCTGTATCTTCAGAATGCTGGAGTATCTCAGGAGCCTGGCAAGTCAGATCCCTGGCCTCACTCTTTGCTCTTAACTGAGCCCCCAGTGTATTGTCTAGCACTAATCTTGTCTGTCAAGGAGGAGAAACACCAGCTACTTATAACGTGACACCATGTGCTTAGGACTATAGTATAGGGTGGTAGCTGAAAGAGATGAGGTAGAATTGGGTGAAAAACTGCCCAGATTTCAGTAGTAGGATTTATAAAGCACAGTGGATTCCTGGTCTACCCGTCTGTTGGGGAAATTTGGAATCAATAAGCAATTGTTCAGTTTGAGTAAGTGATGTCACATATCAGATTCCTCCAGGAGGCTTTCTGACCTACAAAGTCGTACATGAATAGTATGGTATCCATCTAGCTCTGTTCTATTGAATGCCTTGTAAACAACCAACACTACAAACACTGTGAGAATTTGTTTTCAGGTCTGACACCTTTTGGTAGATTTTTATAGCAAGAAACCATATCCTTTTTATAAAAACTCAAGTCTGTACTTCAGGAGCAAAACTCTTCAGGCTCCTTTTTTATAAACTGGTGATTTTTTTCTTTGTCTAAAAAACACAAGCAGAAAATTTACCAAAAAAAAATGCAGAAGAATACTGTAGTTTAGAAATCATGCTCTCACTGCCAAACAGAAAGCTCCGGGAGAAAACACAATGACTAGAGGCCAATTCAATAGAATCAGTCTTTTGATACCTTTTTAACAGTTACACTTACAGTAATAATCTCAACGTGGACCAGACATTCTAATTATATTTTAAATGAAATGTTATGGGATATTTTAAGTAACTTTTTTATCTATAATCCTGATATTTCATACTGAAGATGCAGAGACCTTTCATTTGTCTTTAACATTCGAAAGGATTTCTCTTTATTAAGGATTGATCACTTGAAATAACTCTCAGTCTTTGAGGTTTATAATACTGACTTTTTGTCTGTAATCATAGCCCATAATAGCCAATATGACTAAATTTAGGTGAAAGCCATGCATGCTAAGTATGTGTTTGATTTTTATAGTTAGGAAGATTTCCTTTATTTCTTTGTAATTGCTCAGTTAGTATGAAAGATGCAACATTCAAAGCAAAGATGTTTGGCTGATGAATGATATGCAGTTGTCCCTCCATTCTAAGTAGAATGAGTGTGGGGCTCGTGTGTGTGTGTGTGTGCATGCGTGTGCACATGTGTGTATGCTGCTTCATAATTAGGAAATAGGAGAGAACAACTCAACATGATTGATGGCAACTTGGTGGTGTTGCTAATGTGTAGGGGGAAGTAGGATGGGAAGGGGTAGCTAGAGGCCCCTTAAAAATTTTCAGATGTCTTTAATTACAAGAAACATTTTTTTTCTTTTGGTTCCGGAGAGTTGATAATAGGAATTCTGGTTAAGCTGGTCACTGAAGAACCCAGAAGGAGGTTCTGCTCTTGCCTTTATTTTATACCCACATGAAATGATTAAGAAGCCCTATTTACTTAGCCCTTATTTCTTTCTAGAAGCTCAGTGCTTTCTTAGTGCCTCCCAGAACGTTTGAGTTAATTAAAGCAAATTGGTTATTCTGGACAGATAGAAATTATGGTGCGAGGTGTCTTTTTATCTTCTGGGCCAGGTCTTCCAACATACTCTATGTCTGTCTTTCAGCAAATCCCTTGTAGTCCCCTGTCTTCATTTAAGATGAGAACATGGAGATCCAGACAGCTTAATGATCTACTGAAAGAGTAGGAGCAGAGAAACTTCCAAGTTCCTCATGCCCAGGCTTCTCAGTAGTTCTCTGAGTGTTTTCTTACTTGTGACATATATACCACTGGAGAATACTATGGACATAGTTTCTTTAGAATGTACTTGGAACAGACACTCTTCTATAACAACTGTGCCCTTTCTGTCCTCTGAACTCACTACAAGAAAACCCTTTACAAATGTTTTTGACTTATAGGCAGGCACATATACATGTAAGAAAACATTTTGTTGTTATTGCTACTTCATGTGGCAAGGCTTGGTGTAGTTCAAAACTCAAGTGTCCAATAATTTCATTGTGAGTTGGCTCATATTCAAGTGATTTTTTTTTTCGGAACTGAGCTCATACATTCCCCTTATTCATTTCCAGTTTTATCTGATGCAGTTTTACCACTGTAGACACATTGTGTTGAGTATGCATGGTCAGTCAGCAAGCATTTGCCACTGCTTCCCATAACGTCTCCCTCTCTATTACACACAACACACACACACACACACACACACACACACACCCCATGTTGCTTGTTCCTACCTCCTGACTTTTCTTCCCCACAGAAATAGAAATAGGGGCAACAAAGGGAAATGTATATATGGGTGCTGGGTTGAACAACTACCTTCATAAGTAGTGGTAATTAGAGTTAAAGTGGGAGAAAAGCTTCTTTTCTCCTAGCTGTTTTGGAAAGGATAGCCATTAGCATGACTGCTTTGTGTCCTTATGGACTTGGTATTAGCCTAGACTGAATCATAGCATTTTCTAGCTGGAAGGAAGCTTAAGATCACATCATCTGCTCCAAAGTCTTCATTTCCTTAAGGCCAGCAAAGAAAGAAGTTAAGTAATTTCCCTGCAAGGTCACACAGCTGCCTATTGGCAGTGCTGGGATTAGAACCTACTCCTCTTGGCTCTTATTCCAGGGTTTTTTTTTCCAACTAGCCTGTATTGTCTTCTGTGAGGCTCCTGAATATTCTTTCCCAGGGTCGTGTTGCTTTCTGGATTCATTTGCTACTTTGTTAAACTCAGCAAGAAATCCACTCAGCATCCTAATCTGGTTCTTCTTTTTCACATTCTCATTGTTTCATCCACATGAGCTGCAGATAGCCCCAAAGAGAGGGAAGCATGGAGGACCAGAGAAATCCCTACTTGGGAAATCTCTAAATAACCCCACTCCCACTGAAGTAGCCCCGCCCCCACCAAACTACTGCTCTGTCCAAAGGGAATGGAAAAATGACTACTTTTTTCCTTATCAGCTTCTTTCTATGCCATTTCACACTCATTGTTTCTCCCAGGATAAGACAGTAGTTTCTTCTTTCCAGAACAGAGAAAATAAGAAATCAAGAATAGAGCAATATATTTGTTTATCCCGGCTTTCTGAGATGAATATTTTTTTGACATTTTAAAAACTAGCCTGGCTACCATTTTTACTATCAATGATTTCTTTAAAATATGGTTCGAGACCAGCCTGGTCTACAGAGCTAGTTCCAGGACAGGCTCCAAAGCCACAGCGAAACCCTGTCTCGAAAAACCAAAAAAAAAAAAAAAAATATGGTACTGAGCCAAACTAGAGAAATATAATCAAGTCTTATTTTAGTCCTCAATCTCAATGTCCCCATAGCCATGCTGCCCTGATGGAAACAATTTTCAAGTATATACAAGTGGTTTTGTCACCAAACTGTGCCCTGGCTACCATTAAATATTGGTTCTTTGTGCTTGTACCCAAATAGCACACAATAACTTTGCACATTTTATCCTAGGTCTTTGTGGAGCCTATTAATGTGGTTTTCCAGGACATAAATTCGGACAACATGATCTGTACGTGTGGGTTTCCTTGCAGCAAGGATCTCTGGAAACTAATTAATATTAATTGAGCTCTAAAAGATTTCTTACTAGGTTTACCCAAGTTCAGGAATTTCTCTTTTCTCCACTTCTCCAGTTGGGCATAACCAAGGAATCCTAAAGTGGGTGTGTAGCTTCTATATCCTAGATACTTCTTAGGATCATCCATCACCCATTTAAGAAAAGGAACACAATGCTTGATCTACATAAAATTATGTCTCCATCCCCAGTCTCTTCAACATTCTAGGCTCAGTTTCCACCATTCCCTCTCACATTTGATTGCAAATGTATTTTCCTTTTAGAAAACAAGGAAGTAATACCAACCACATCTCCTTGGGATGGGAGAAGTAGCATGTCTTTGTGTCCCAAATGAGCTTCTGCAGTGATAAGAATGTTTCAAGAGACTAGGCTGCCTCAGAAACAACTGTGTCAGGAGACTTCTCTAGCAGAAGGCCCATGACAACATAGCTTCACTGAATTTCTTCACAGTGGTCTGGGTTGCTATGGAAATAGAGCCAATGGATCTTTATCTTTTCTTTTTTTAAGCAATGATTGGAGCTTGTTCTAGGGCACATGAAGTCACTTGGAACCACATCTAGACCTCATTTATACATTGCTTTCCCTGTATAAAGAGGTTTAGCTTCTAGGCCCAAAGTGATTTCTTAAGAAGGTCTGGGGCTGTGTTTTGAGAGATGGCTCGACATTTTTAGAGTACTTCCTGCTCTTCTAGGGGACTCATATTCAATTCCCAGCACCCACATGACAGTTAACAACTGTCTGTGGCTCCATTTCGAGAGAACCTAAAATCCTCACATAGACATGAATGCAGGTAAAACACCAATTAACATAAACTAAAATTAATTATTTTTGAAAAGGAAGGTCAGGAATGTCTGGAGCTCATATAGGGAAATAGGAGTGTCTATAGTCCTATGATTTAGACTTCAAACTCTGAAAGAATAAAGACTGAGTTTTGACCCAGCCATTTAAAATATGTCAGA